TTTATTCATGAGGAATAGTTTTATTATGCCAATGAAGAAATACAGCATTGCTGGTATACCTAAATTTACAGTAACATTACTTTACCAGTAGAATATATTGGTAAAATCCGCATTATATAGACACAAATAGCCTCTGTATTAGTTGATTAACTAAGTAGTAAGGGATATTTATAGGGCCTTAAGTATTTCTTTTAATTCACCCAACCAAAGCCTCTGATCCATAAATGCGTCTGATCTTCAACCCCAACTCCTGAACATGCCCCTCAATATCAGCCTCAAATTCCTTGCAAATTATTACAATGGCTTACATTACACTTGCATTTTAGGAAAGTTATGATGGCTTTTAAGAATTTTAACATGTTCTTTGGATATGGATGCTATAAATTCATGAGAAAGAGAAACAAGTAGCTTATCTACCTGATAGACTTCTTTAGGTTACTTCACAGTGCTCTGGAAGAGCAATGCACTAATGACAGGAAGACATTCTCATCTCAGTCACCTAAAATAACTCTACTGATTTAACAGCAGACCATTTGAGTTGAGTAGCTGGCTGAAGGGCTGTATTCCAAGCATTGTTTTTGTCCAAATGTAATCGGTGATAGAGAAGATGCAGTGGAATAACATGAAGTGACTTGGCAGGTTCCAGTGATTAGAACATTAGCTTGACAAGCTTTGAGACCTGCGTTCAATTTCCTGATCTGTCAGTCTACCTCTGTGAGTTTGGGCAAGTCAATTACTCTGTACTTCATACAGTGTCAGCTGCCATCGTAAAATCAGAAAACCAGTAAGCCATGAGGTCTTAAGAATCTAAATACATCAAAGATTGCAAGGAATACAAATAGTAAGGGAACATGGACCATATTAATTACTTAAAAAAGAATGACAGCATCTCACTACTGACTTTCAGACCTACCTTTCTTGGAGTTCTTTCATAGCTGGTGTTAGGTAGCTAGCTGTTACCAGGTTTACTTTACTATCAATGCATTTCTTAGCAACTAAAGGATGTGCTGAATAAGGCAGCAAGCTGCAAACAAACAAAAAATGTACATCAACATCTAACCAATTACTTGTATTTTGACTTGAAGACAATTTGCAAAAAGTTTTCCTGCATTTAGAAAGTCTATTAATGCAAAGGACCTTTGGCCTTGCACTACTTTCAATGTAGGTTTATGCCTATGCGAGTGAGCATAAAATGCTACCTAATTGGAATAGCTTGGAATAGCATTGTTTAACAACTACTTCATACGAAGTGCATACAGGGGAAGAGTGGGTTCAAGCACTCTCAATTCTTTGCATGCCTCATCTTTTACATTTCCCCTTGTGAAAACAGAATCATGTTTTCTTCTCAGTGCCACATCCAAAAATGGTGTGTGCTGTGTTTTATAATTTAAATCTGGTAAGCTGGCTTTGAAGCAGCTTTCATGAAAATGGTCTGGCTGAATTACCTCCCCAGACAGAATCCTGAAAAGCAGCCATCAGGCACAACATATCTCAGGAATGGGGAGGACTATAAAGCAGTTTCCAACCCTACTTCAAAGCTCAAAAAGAGAACAATTTCTGTAACTGTTTAGTAGCAAAGGTTGAATTTTTTCAGAAGTTGGCATCTGCATGTATGTGCACCATTACTTGTTTGCACCATGTAATTTGCACATGCAGATGATAGGTTTGTACATGAAAAAAATCATCTCATGTAGACTCATGAGAGTTTAAGCAAGTAAAGTTGCATACCCACAAAGACAGACCGCATTGAGGCTCATTCAGTTATCTTCCCCTTAAAATCATCTTGCCACTTTAACAATCAGGAAAGAGTTATACTGCACTAGAGACAATTCCGACGTACTTGTTATATGAAGACACAATGTCCAGTCACATCCCCTTCCATGCTCCCAACTCATGCACACTCCTCACACTTGGAGCTATGAGCGAAGACGACCTATTTGCTTTACATTCCTTGCACACTGGTAAAACCCTATAGCTAAGTACAGACATTCAAAAAGCCCGAGGCAGAATTGATCTAAGTTATGCAGTCTTCTGTAAGCAACATAGTTTAGATCGGTAGCAAACAGAACGCACATTCGCACTTTGGTGGTGTGGGGGGGAGAAGGGAGGCAAATCTTAGACCTGGTTCCACCTGTATGTGTGCCAAATAGCTGTTCTGTTATGGGTTTCCAATCACTTATACTGGTAAATGTGTAATGTCTGTACCTGGCCTATGTGGCTATTTACAGAGCTATACAGAAGCCTTATCACAGCAGAGTTCAGTGTCATGCCTACCAAGTTTTACTCAGAATTCTGACCTGATTACGAGGTCATGCTTCTTCACCAAGGTGGAAAGTTTATCCTCATGTTTAATAACATCCATAATTACAGAAGTGACATTGCTGTGTTTCTTGGTCAGCTGTTCAAGTTGTTCCTTCATAAAAGATGCTGTTTTAAAAAATAAGAATATCAACTGATAAATAGAAATCAAGTTTCCCCCCACCCACATGTGAAGGTGAGCACCAGAAGTACCTTCTGCCCTACTGAATAACCCAGTTGTCATGCAAACTCCACTACCAGCACTTCTGTTGTGCATGTGCCTTAGCAAATGGATAATTATGGTCCCTGTCAATCTCTCTCTTTCCAAAGTAAAGCAGTTGCATTGACCCAGCAAAATAAAAAACAAAGCAAAAACAAACAGTTGATGGCAAAGCAAATGTAAAACATCTTGCTCCTTTAAACATCAAATTGCTAGTGTCAAGCTACAGCCACTATAATTTAAAAACAGGGATCTGCTGGGAATATTTATCCTCAGAAATAAAAAGCCGTCTATGCCAAGGGAATTGCAGAATCCCAACAAAGAATCAGAACCTTTGCTCAAATTGTTTTAATCCCTTCCTGTTCTTTCTTATTTAAATTTAATTTTGATTCCAACTCTTCATATGAGCCTTATCTGCTGTCTTGAATACCATCAGGTATTTTGCCATAAGAATCAGAGTGATTTACAATCTCACCTTTAACTTACTGGACACCAGCATTAAGCAAAACAGGGGTGTGCTCCATGTACCATGGAACTATCACCCTTCTTTCCAGTCTCCTCGCAACACAGCTCTCATGTTAGATAAATAAAAAAAGAGATCCTGAATATCTCTTCCCCAAGCAAAGATCCTACATAATCTATCAATCACATTGTGTATCAAGACCATGTTATTCGTTGTCATCTTGTAAAGTCTGCTTTGAAAGACAGCTGTAACTTCTAGAGCAGGGGTGGGCAACATACAGCCCGCCGGATGGATCTGGCCTGCCAGGCTATTCTATCCGGCCCGTGAAACCCCTAAAAAATTTAGTAAATTAATATTCATTTGCCCCGGCTCCCTGTCAAAGCTGGCTGGAGCCAGGGGCAGTAGGACCCAGAGGAAGCCCTCAGCAGGCTTGCAGGTTTGAGCAGCCCAGCCCGGCCCACCCCCAGCCAGTTCCCTGCTTTCCTGCCCCAGCCCTGCTCCAGCACCAAATGGCTGTGTCTCCTGGCTGCATCCCCAGACCGCAGAGCATGGGACCGTGCTGGTAGGGGGGTGTGTGTGTGTGTACGCACACACGTCAGCAGGCACAAGGGCAGAGAGTGTGTGTGTGTGTGTGTGTGTGTGTGTGTGTGTGTGTGTGTGTCCATCTGTGTAGGCACAGGGGCAGTGTGTGTGTGTGTGTGTACGTGAGTGTGCGCGTGTTCAAAGTGTGAGTCCCACACTCACACCCCTCCATACACATGCACCTATGCCTCCCCTCACACTGCCATACACAAACCCCAGCCACCCTCCCCCCATACCCACCCACACCCCACATACCCACACACCCACAGCCCCCACAAACCTATACCCACACCCCACAATATACAAGAATAAGACTTCATTTTAAGTTATTGTGCAGTCACTTCTGCATATACTACACAAACGCATGTAAATCAGGACAAAAATATTTTTTGAAATCAAATTAATGAATGTTGTAGATGATCACTTTTTAGACTATAATTTGGTATTTTTCTGGTTCTGAGCTGGCAAAACTCCTTGCTGAAAGGAGTACTTCCAGGGGTAAGGGGAGGGACTTCTGGTGGCAAAGATCAGGGGCTAGGGGGTGGGACTTCTGGTCACAAGATGGCAAACAGGGGGTGGGGTACCTGTCAGGAGCGGGGCTACCCATGCAGCCCTTGACAGCTTGCCAAAACTTGGTAAGTGGCCCTCTGCTCGAAATAATTGCCTGCTCCTGTTCTAGAGGATCCTTAAATATTGTGCTGGGCATCTCATAGTACCTGTTCTTTAAATGCAACTCAGAGTGCAGAAACAACTAGTACCCTGCCTGCTACATCAGACAGAAATGAGGATGTATGCAACTCCTTGTAACCAAACCAAGTGACAGAATAATTGAACAACTTCTCACCAGGCCACATAACCAAAGTCCTATGATAACTCTGTGATTAGAATTGAAATAAGCCTAAACATAGGAGGTCTGTGAAGAATCATCCAAAACTCACAAGAACCCCAGTCATTCTGCAACCACTGAGATGCAGAACAGACTGGGATGGTGTGAGGGTCTATCCACTAAAACTTACACCAAGTCTACAACCAATTAATTACATTAGCTCTTTAGTAGTGTTTTGCCCTTGCTATGAGCCCAGGCTACAATAAGTCTGTCAAAAAGTAAGCACTGTGTAGTGAGGTATGCCTGTGACACTGGTCTTGCCAGCCCTCCTTTATCCAGATTTGTTCTACTGGGCTTCCCAGTGTGCACTGCTCTGCTTATATTCAGTGTGCATGTTTGCAGCCCTATGAGACAGCTGCCCACCCTTTACCAAGGAATCAGTGATCCAAACACTATCAGAAAGTATGGCAGGTGAAAGACACATTAACATGGTTTCTCACATAGAAAGGCTCTTGTGTGAACATAATTCAATCGAGTGGCTTTTTTTAAAAGAATAAAAATCCTGTGATAGGATGACTATGTCATGACTGATTACAAACCCTCCACAAATTGTTATAGTTTAGCCTGGAGTGGAAACTAATCCAAAAACTGGTACTAAGTGGAAGAAGGTATTGCATCCCAAAAGGATTGAGATAATATATTTATAGATGAAAGCCTGAGCCTCAGACTCTCAAACAAACTTTACACACACACACACACACACACACACTTCAACTAACTTTTTTTTTACTGGAAAGGACATCTAGAAATTCAAGTGAATTTAAAAGAAAATGTGCCTGGACTGCTAAAACAGATCAATTTCCCTTAGTCACTAAGAAATATGCTTCTAGAACTGGACTCAGAAGATGATCCATTTAACAAAATGCTTGAGATATTTTTACATAGAATATAAAAATGTAAGGGGCTCTACAATAAAACTGTTTAGGACAGAAACATTTTTGGTCATGGTTCACAGGGAAAAAATAATTAATTTTTTAATTAATTAATTAATTGAGAGAGATGCCCATAATTGATGATGTCTAAAAATGTATTTCCCCTGGGTTATTAATCTGATCACATGAAGCAATATGACAAGAACTGAGAAGATACTGACAGAAAATACAGCAACTATACTATGCCCAGCAAAAATTATTACTAGTCCATGCAGGCAAACAGTACCTGTTGTGGGATAAAGGGTCAGCGGAGAAACTGTTGGGGAAAAAGTTAAAAGGATCAAACAGAAAAGCTTGAAAAGTAGAGGAACGAGGCAAGTGAATCATTCATCCAGTCACTTCAACACCATCTCACAGATAGCATATAGGATGCCATGATCCATTAAGTAGGGACTTTTCTTTTTCTGGTTACTTTGGTGAGAAATGACTCTATTATAGAATTAGTTTTATGAAATATCTACACTCCCTCCAACTGTGCTAGAGAATGCTGCTCCTGCTTCATGCATGCTAACCAGAAAAAATATAACAGCATTGGGCAAAGATGGAGAGTGGCACAGTATGCATCCTCAGTGCACCAAAAACCAGCTACTTGCCATTTTTTGGCATTTGGTATAAGTGGATGAGATGCTTTTCACAACAGCACTGCCTCACATGGTCAGAGGGCATGTAGACATGTCCTTAGTGTTGTGACGTAGGAGCCAGTGACTCAACCCATCGTCATGTAGGCAAGTACTTGGGTTTACTCACCAAAGTACTGGTTTGCAAGACCAGGTATGTAGACTTTAATAGTGAACCCAGGAACTTGGTTCAGGGTTCTGTGTTGCTCTTGCAAGAGTTAAGATGAAAAAGCTGTCTTAATTACACTGCTTTAGGCATTCTTGATCTCATCAGCTTTCAGGAAAAACAGATCATGAGTATCATGAAAGGGTAGGTAAAATAAACTGTACATATATATTTTAACTTTTGTTTATAGGTTTAGGTTTAATACATTAATAAATTAAGACCATAAACAAGTTCAGGGATTTGTTTTAATTCATGCAGTACCCCAAAAGGCTGTGTGGCACCTTTCAGATTAATAGGAAGGTGAATTATTGATCCAAGGAACTCAGAGTCTACGACAGATGGCAACACAGGTGAAAAACAGGCTGACCTAACAGGTAGTGGGGTGACTACAATTAGAGATTTAAGCCAAATCCAAAAGTTAGGCTTTTTTAATTAAATCAGATTTTTATTGTAAAATAAATGTATTTTTCCTTTTTTAATTATTTATTTTAAAAATTAAAAATGTAACATTTGTAATTAACTACATCAAGCCTAAGATTACTATAATTTCACAAAATAACTGAAATTAAAATGAAAATGTTAAAATATAATTATTGCCACTGAGCTAGTGGAAGTCACTAGCCAAGCACCTCGAACTAGAGTTTTGTGAAGTACTAACTCAATTGTTGACAGTATCATCTTTTCTACTGATGCAAAACAAATTATTTCCTCTTTTTCCTTTATTCACTAGGGCAGGTCAATGACTAGCTCATTCAAATTCTGAATGATAGAATAAGCTACTTTGTACTTACTGTATGCTAAGAGTGGATGAATTGCTAGTGAGGACAATTTGATCAACTGTAAATTTACAACTTGGCTTACCTCAGAGTAGCTTCATGTAGACAAGCCCTTACTGTTTGCACATTGCCCAACACAACAAACCCTTCAACACAATTGTATTTCCTGATGCTACTGTATTTATAATGCAAATATATCATAATGCAAATATATTGCACAACCATAGCAATGGGCGACCAATAAGGCTTGGTAAGATTGTGCAGAGGATACACAGAGACAAAACAATTATACTGAGCAAAAATGGGTGAAAGAAGGAACTTAAAATGGATCAGGTGAAGTGAGGTATTTCTTTCATATACCCACTCATGGAATAGTGGAAGCTAAACTGTGGTAATTTAGCAGCTATTTAGTTTGGCTATGTGACAGGCTAGCTGGCAGTGACCTAGCCCAGGGGTTTTGAAAGGGCAAAAGATGATTGGAGGACTTGGGATTCCCTTTCCTCACCAATCAGGCCCCAGAGATTCACCCCTCATGTCCCCTGATTGGCCCCTTGGGTCACCTGGAGGGGGATAAAAGGGGCAGCGTGGCTGACTCAGGAGGGAGACCAGTGAGGGACCACAAGGAAGGAGCTTCAAAGAGCTGAGCCAGCAGGGCAGGAGCAGTTGCCCCAGAAGAGCCTGAAGGAGCAGAACCTGCAGGCAGCAGTTGGACCCTCGGCAGCATGGCATGTGGCCAGCAGGAGAGGCTTCCTGATGGGCTCCAGGATCCCCTACGAGAGGCTGTGGCCAGCAGGAGAGGCTTCCCGCTTCAGCAAGGATCTGAGCAGCGACCTGAGGGGTTCCCAGCTTGGCTTCCAGCTCCTCCAATCAGAGGCCAGGGCGCTTCAAGGAAGGCTAGGGCTCCAGGAAGGTCAAGACTCCTAGCAGCTTGGAGCACTACTAGCACTGGTGGCTGTGTGGCAATGTTCCTGCCTACTACATGAGAGATCCAAGTTCAAGTCTCAGCTTTGATAACTTGGGGTGAGTGAGCTAAGAAGGAGAAATTCCTCTTGCAGTGGAAAGGGGCCATTGTGTTTTTCTCCCTTTCCAGGTACCTAGGCCCTATATTTCTTTGTCCTTTGACATTTTGCGCTTTTTTTTATATCTCCCCAACCAGTATTGTTTGGTCTGCTGTTTGTGTTTTATATTTTGTTAACCCTATCTTTTGTCAATGATTGCACGTGTCTAACCTTGTTGAATCCTACCCCTTGGGGCATTGTAGTGTCCACTATACCCCCTGATTATACCTGTTATGTTCTCAGTATTGTTCCCTCATTAAAAGGTATATGGTTAAGTCCCCAGTGGTGGTCTGGCTCTGCTCTATAGGGGGAGGAGAGTCCCTACACCTCCCACAACGCTTGTGCACCTGCTTTGATCCCTTCAACTGGAGAGGGGGTACCTTTTGGGGTACCGCCCGGGTTACAGCTATAAACTGCCCCAGTTTAGCTTCACTTAGTGCCAGATACAGCAGACATACGAAACTGTTACAATTGATCAGCTGACACAAGCACTAAGAGCAGTTCACTCCCAACTCCACACACTTAGAAGCAGTCTAATTGTTTCATCAGTCCACAGGCAGAGAAAGATCTTGACAACTACCTCCTTAGGTTTTTTGAAGAGGGACATCGTCAGCTACAGTTCCTTAAATGGGCTAATTTCAAAAGAACCCACTAACTTATAAAGTACCCTTAAAACTAGAGCCTAATTGGGGAAAATGATAATTCTATAAAGATAGTTGTGTTTCTCTGATTAGAAAGGTGTTTTGGACATATCTACAACAACAAACTTGACACTCCCTACACCATACATTTTCTATTTGTATGCATCTGCCTGCTGCCTGTTCCACGGTATGTACTCTCCTAACTACTTAAGCACCTTGCAGGGACTAGGGAAAAAATAGTGTAAATGATTCCCCATTTTCAGAACAGCACAGAAAAGAGATGTCATCATGCTATCACACAGGACAGAAAATGCAACTGACAACCAATGAAAGAGTGAGACTGACTATACACAAAGTACTGTCAAATGCATGATCCAAACAAACTGAAATGAACAGAGAAAGAGATCTTCTCCCCAATTTCTTTGTTAAGGCACTGTATACAACAAATAGATCAAAATTGAAATGGCAATGTGGTATTAAAATTGAGGCATTTCTTCAGAATGTTCTTCAGGCTATAAAGTAATTTTAGACTGAAATACACAATTAAAAGCATAGACTATGCCTGTAGTGCTTGCATAGCAGTTCCATATGTCTATAAAAGAATGAACAGTAAGCTGCAACGTGATGTTAAATGAAATTATTCCTTATACATGCATGAACCCTTATATAGTGCTTTTAACACTGGAAAGTAAATCCTTAAGTACCTGCTGTGATTTGAATGTTGGGATCTCTAGTGAGGTATTCTATCACAGGGCCAGAAACATAGCCAGCTCCAAGTAACAAGACCTTTTTCTTCTTATCCATGGTCAGTGACTGAGCATATTCCCTAAAAGGGATTATAATCAAAATTAAAACACACAGCATAAGCAAAGAGTAACCTGCTAAAGCTAATGCAATATCAGTAAGTTTTAGTTAGTTTACAAACCAAGAGCTCTGTTCAGACAAAAGTTTAAGTTCTCGGGCACTGCTCTCTAACCCAAATCCAAAACATCCATTTTCAAAGCATTTTCAGTTGAACTTCTAATTTCAAGGAATGCAACTAAAATGTCTAAAATAGCTTCAAACATTCATACTACTGAATCCTCTCTCTTTTTGCTTCTCCAACAGCTATTGTTACCTGATCTTCCTCAGAAGCCATCACATCTTCCTTGATAGCTAAGCCATCAAAACCTGATTACTTCAGGAGGGAATGCCCCAATTTGCCATTTTTGAATGATGCTGCAGTGTTCTAGATTATACCTACCCCACTACACCTCCTCTGCCACCTCTAAGGAATAGGAATTTATGTTGCAGAAAATGTAACTTTGGATAAACTATACCACAGTAATTTAAGACGCCTATAAGAATAACAGTTTAAGACTATAGCTAGCTAGTAAAATCTGTTTCTACTTACGGCCTCAGATTGTGTGACAAAAGTCCCAGCCAGGCAGGGGGATCCAATTTAAATTAAAATGGGAAATGCTCATTTAAATTAAAACTAATTTGCATTTTTGTTTTTTGTTATTCTCCTAAAACAAACACATTCTCACTGACATAACTATTAAAATATGTGGATTTGAACCAAATACAATACATCATTAAGCTAAAGTTGTTGCTACTGTTTGCTAATGAGAAAGAAACATGTTATCTTGATACTTTTAAGTAATGTATGCAGATTCTTAATTTTATATTTTGCATCATATTAGAAAAGGAGGAATACTTAATTTGTTTACTAGGTGACAGTTTTTCTGGTGCAAGGGTGGATCGGAGAAGCTACTTTTAGAAGGAAACTAGAATTCAATTAAAAATGTACAAAAATAGAACCTTAAAGTTGCTCACTGTAAATTATACTATTATATTATGCAAGAGGCAAGGATTTTTGTGGGAAATATCTTTTATTGGTAGGATAGGCGTAAACAAGCTTCTGAATGCAATACATTCTTCAGATTTATTATATTGCAACTTTTATTGCAAGTAAAGCTACCTTAAATATGCTGGATACATGAAGGAAAAGTGGAAATTTATCCAAACATATATTAAATTTAAATAAATCACAATTTCAAATTTAAATGAAAACAAGTTTATTGTTTAATTTATTATTGTAATTACTGATTTATATTACTTATTTATCTACCTTGGCTTGATAAGTCAGACCTTTTAAATATTCATAATGTAGATCCTCTGGTAAGATAAGACTAAGAATTTTACCTCCGAGAGGCAAACCATATACTCTGATCTAACTTTCTTCTTCACAAGGATACTACTCTCATACCAAGAGAAGAAAACCTGAGGCACAATTGTGGGTCGTTTATATGATCAGAAAATATGAAGAGAGAAAGTAGGTTGTAACTCCAGATCTGGCACAGAAAAAAAGCCTCTCTTGCAAAAGAAACAACTTTTACAATATTAGGCTCCTAGTTACATTGATTCCTAGTTTAAATTATCCAGCAGCCAAACTCTGGTCAACTGGACCAGAATTTGTATGTTCCTGGAAGGGAAAACTATGGACCTCTCTCAGAATTACTGTTAACATGACGTACCATTTGCACTCTGCAAAAGCAGCATATAGTATCAATGAAGCAAAAAGGTAAAAAGAAATTGGAAAGAACAACAACTCAAATGTACATTCCTCTCTCTTGGGGCCCATCACCCATATTAACTCTCATAACCTGGCTGTTCTTTGCACAGAGTTCATTAGCCTTCAAAAAGTAACACTTAGCATTTAGTCTAAATAGAGCCCTTAGCTATCAGACTAACTATTATGTTGTATTATGTTAGAGCAGTAATACAAGTCAGATAACTCCCTCTTCACATCCCAAATTTGAAACCTCATGGGTAAACTATCGCATTTTAAAGAGCCAATTTGTTATTATAATTGCATTCTTTCCAAATAAATCCAAAGGGGAAAAATATCCAAAAAAAAAGGGTTTGGGTTTAGTGGGTCCTGTTCATTTTTTAGTTAAGTGAATTATAGTTAAAAAAAATGACACACCACACATGCAACACACAGTTCTGCAGAAAGATCAAAAATCTACCCACAATTAAACCCCTTTGGAAGACAGTCTCCAGCTTCTTAGGCAGCTCATACAAGCCCATGCAAGAGGTTAAGAGGGGAGCCAAAAGACAGACCACAATGCTGTGCAAGGAATAAGAAGGTATGTTAGCGGAGACAGCCCCAGGAGATTTTCCACCAAAATAGCATATACCAAAAAATGTAGCTGTAAGCTGTGATCTTTGGGAAGCAAATGGCTTGCTCCATCCCTATGGAAAAGGGCCTGTAAATGATTAAGCTGGATGTGATGGACTTTTCCTGAAGTCCTCATAGGATTTCCCCATTAATTACATTATTGTATTTTAAAATTTCCTACAGCCAAAACTATAAGTGCATGGGGAAGTGACACGTTATATTGTCTAAATGTATATAAATGCATGTAATGTTTAAGCCCGTATTGATTTCTGCTGTGTATCCAATTTCTACTGTGTTACAGATACGAGTGTTCCAGCAATCCCTAACCAAAACCCCATGAAGACAGAGTTAGCCATCATTGCCAAAACAGTGAGGTTCTGTAAGAAGAATAAAAATACAATGCAAGTTACTAGAAATAATGGAGAAAAATCCAGGATTTTCATACTTTAAGTAGTGAAGTGGTGAGCTTTAAGGGAGTTAAGCTAACCAAATCTGCTTCATCACCACTGCAAGATAAAAATACAGAGGAAGTAAGGAAAGAATCATATACAATAGCTACTGTCCTAGTAAAGTGAAATGGAAAGTCAGAGGCCTTTATGCAGAATCCTGAATATACCCAAAAACTGAACAAAACTGCATGTAAGCGGGAAGGAATAACAGCTTCCTCTACTAATAAGTAGAAGGCTGCAAAATACATTAGAACTATTCCTATCCCAGAAATCCCTGAATAGGCCAATGCAGTGTGCATAAATTTTGAGGATAGAAGCATCAAAGAATAATATTGCAGGGGTTTAGGTTGTAGCCGTGTTGGTCTAATAAAAGATATCAAATTCACCCAAGGAACAAAGAATAATATTAGCATTCACTTATTTTGGGTCTTCAAGAAATCAATGTAGCAGGCATTGTTTGCCCTGTTTGCTCATGTTCAGGAGTAATTAGTAATATGTGCTGCTAATGAAGTTAAGCACTGTAGGGAGAATTATCAACCCAAAAGAAAATGTAACTACATAAAGCGATTCCACCAAAGCTTGAATTAAATAAATAAATGCAACAATGATAAAAGGTACACATGCTTATTTAAAACCGGATACACAGAATCAAGATCATAATGCAAATCAAAATCTATATATTACCTGCTCTCCCTCAGTTTCTGGATATACTTATACTTAGGAGTCAATGAACCGTTGGATGCAATCACTGCCTACAAAGTATATGAAACAAATTACTCTTTTTGCATCTGGACTTTCAATACCCAGGTCAAAAAAGGAAGGAAATTAGCTTGTAGAACTTACATCTCGAACAACAGGTGAATAGTTCTGGCTTTCAAGAGGCTCAGAGCCTTCAGATAATAGCTGTAGAGGGGAAAAAAATGGTTTCAATCAGAGTACTTTATTTCCTTCATGCTTTTACAGGTATTTTAAAAAATAAATCCTCTTTGGAAAAATATGCTTCATTACAAAGAAAGAAACTGTTAAAACTTTTTGGGTTAAAATAAAATACAAACAATAAGAGAACAATAGTATGATGTAGTAATACTTTGGAAACCTGAAACACACCTGGCTTTTACCTTGTTTTAAACTGATTTTCATTGAAATTTAGGCTCCTAAGCCACTTATGAAAATGGAATACCAGATGTTTTGAAACATTTTGCCTAGTACTCTAGGGAGCATCCAATTTTCACACACAAGCTATGTTCTACAGCAGATTTTTTAAACCAACATATAGCAGAGCAGAAGAACCACAAAATATGAACAAAGTATAAGACCAAACTTCTTACCAAGCTCATAAAGCCTTACCATCTCTTCAATATAAGGGAAAAGCATGTCTCCAAAATATTCTGTTGATTCTATGGGAAGCTGTGCTGGGAGGTTGTCAATGGAACACATCAGAATTCCAAAGCCTTCAACACTAGAAGAAACACCACAGAAATTCAACACCATATTTTCCTTGCCCTTAAAGAATATTACATCTTTAGCAGTGTTCCTTGAGTCTTTATATAATAAGCTTAATATACAGGGGGTCTAAAACGCAAAGGAAGACAGTGCAAAGTAAAGGTACTCTCACCTGTCATGAATAATATGCTGGTCAGCATCATATATACAAAATGGATTGTTGATTGTTGTACACTCAGTCATAAATTCTATAGATCCTCCTGTGTCTGCTGAAATGTCACATATTGCCAAAAGTCTGAAATAAACAAAATAAAACAATGAACAAGAACATTAGTCACACCTCCAAATAATGAACCACTACAAAATATAAAGATAAAATAGATCAAGGACCAAAAAGGAAAAAAAGAGAACTAGGAAGATCCCTCAGAGATTTAGCTCCAGACAGAGAACCAAGTCACATCTCTCTATAGTGCCCTCAATTACTACTGACAAAAGTGTGCTTCATGAAAGGTTACATCTATAAACCAACAGAAGGAAGGGATACAGTAATATTTATCTTGACATGTTTAGGCATCCTTTGTTTCACCTTTCACTTTAAAAAAAATTAGAATACCATTTAATACTTTAAATTATATTTTTATTTTTTAAGTGTTAAATGGATTTTAAATTTTTTTTCTAATGAACATGATTACAGTTGCTAGATCAGCAGCACAGACACCAATATTGACATATTCCCACATTACCCAGTCAACACCCCTAAACTTAGTGCCACTCAGAAAGACCACAACATGTTGGAATGATTTTCTATTTGAAGTCTCTGGGGTTATCTTGTGAATTACATATAGGTGTTTGCACACCTAAAAGGGCTAATTTTGTGTGGCACCTTTAAAAGGATCTTGCAACACCCTGGTTGAAAATCACTGTTTTAGGGAACATCCTATCCACCAAGAAACACTCAGGCTCTCTCCTGCTTACCCTCTAGTCCCAAAAGCTTTGAATTCTGCTTGAAAAGAGAGGGGTTGCGGAGATGGAGTCCAAATGGAGTACCTCAGCCCAGATTAACCTACAGCCTGATGATTAGGTGGGAGACACGAGTGTGAACCCATTCAAGCTAAAAAAAAAAAAAAGTATAAAGCCAATCTTTCACTTCCTGGTTAAGGGCTCTAACCACACAAGTAAGGCTATTTATACAAAAGATGGACTCCTCACCTCCATGCCCAAGTCTTTTTTGGATCTAGCCTTAAATTCACACTCCACATTTCTATATGAAGAGTTATTCCAAAGCACAAAAAATACCATTTACTATCAGAGATTTGTTATTGAATCTGAATTAGATGAATGCCAGAAGAGAAGAACCTTACTAAAGAAACTGAGCTTTAGAAAATTTTCTAGCTATGGTGGTGCACAGTGTGTTTGTCTACATGCAGTACAGAGAATGTATTTTAATGCATTCTATTATGAACTACTGAGGATCAAAATTTAAACTTACTACCAAAGGAAAAATTAAAATTCTCATAGCTATTTGTCTTGGGTAAAAATTACTTATATATGCAACAAAACAAATTAATAGGAAAGCAGACACAAAAAGAAAAGTAAGATCTAATTGGTGTTTCACAATGCATAAGAAAGGAGCTGTTTAATTAGAATCCAGGAGAATTATTGTCACTGAACAAAAAAGACTTACTTGTGTGGTAATTCAGGGCAACCCTCAATTGCAAGAGAAGGAAATTTATGTGGAGCTAGCAGCTTTTGTGCATCCTGTCGGCTTAACAAGCGAGGAGTATCTTGCTCCCAGTATATTCCATTAATTAAGCAAGTAGTGTAGGGTGCAATCTGCAAAGACAGTCAGAAAGTCCCAAGGACTTCATTCAGATATTATTGATAGGCAAAATAATTTAATTTGATCCAGCATACTAATGAATTCCCAACTAAATGGAACATGGAAAAATGGTAGTTATTGGCAGAGTTTGGAAAGCCTTATACTGAAAGAATAGAAACAATACTTACATCAATGTTAAAACGAGAAGTGTAGAGTTCTGGGTGTTTCTCATATTCTGCTGGGTCATACACTCCATCACTCTTCCTTACAAGATGATGGTGACGACTTAGCACCGTCCCATATACTTTCCTAAGGTCTATGGTAAAGAAAAGAAACTCAAGTTCTTTAAAGAGCAAAACTATTGGCCAAAAAGATTCTGAAGGATACTGCATTACTGCCTTAAGGTTACCTCCAGATTTAGAAACTTCCTTCAGCTCATGTGGCTCCACAAACTCACAAGGGAGTGCATTGAACATTTCTTGGGCACCCTGCAGATTAAAAATTATACAGATATCAATTGCACAGGTATCAGCATAAATTTAGAATAGTGAAAATAATCACATAAAGAACATTTTAATTTATCCTGAAATAAGCATAAGGGTATACTTTAAACAGGTTGCACCAATTTTCACAGAATCCTTCACAGAACTAGATGTCAGTGGACATAACAAGTACCCGCCAAAGAAACAGTGCTACCTAAAGTATGATCCACTGGGGAACATCATCTAGTGGTCCATTTAGCTTGTGAACTGGAAAGAGTCACCTGGTTTGGCATATACTGCAATCATGGAATTTGATGACGCATCTTCCCCTTGCTGCAGAATTTTGATCACAATTCTAGTTTTTTAAAATGCAATTTTAACCTTCATGGTTGTGAGAAAAATGTTCACAGTCTAACTCCAATTTGTCACTTACAAACTGAACCTACTGTTACTAAGTTCATTCTGCAACTTGGTGAGTTGATTCTACTCCCAATTGCTCTGCTGGGAGTGGAGGTTGCCCAGCAATTTGCAGAATCAATCCTGTTGACAGCTTTAACAGAGGGGCAAAACTGATGCTTGCATGGAACAATGCTTCCTTCCCCATGTGTTTTGTGATGACTATCAGGAAAGCTACTGAATAGGGTATTTGCTGAGGTATGAAACAGGGCTACATTTTTCTATAAATTCACATTAGCCTTTATGCACATGGGACAAAAACACAGGGAAAGAAGGTTCCTGGCTTGACATCCTGTTGGAGAGGCAATATTAGAGACTGAAGTGAGAAAAAAAGAATAGCAGGAATTATTTCTCCTTCTAATATAACCAAAGTTTCCAAGATCTTTTCCTAGCAAATGTGACCTTGCAGTGAATTCAGTCTAATCTTTATCACCAAAATCATTAATAGACAATTCTCCTGCAGGTTTCCATCTTCTCCCATATGGCTGCAGCTGTTCTGAGGATTCCCTTGTTCCCAAAGCTGGTATGAAAACTGATAGTCCCCCTGGCTCTTCCTCTTTGTTTCATGGCTGCATGACAATGATGTTACAAGAACGTGGCTGGCTCTAGTGAGAAATTTCATGCTTCACTCTGACCAACCGCTCCTCTTCAGTGCATATTTATTAGCTACTCCTGACAAACCCTCACTGAGGTTGCCCCACAGGGCAAAGAGGTTCTGTGGATTCAGAGATGACCCCATTTCCCAAGTGTAGTGCTACTTATAACTCACCAACCCATCAGACTAATCATCCTTTCATTAGTAAAGGACTAGTATCCATCTATTAAATAGCACAGTAAAAATCTAGCATTCTTTGGGAAATAAAATAGGCAGTGAAATAAAGCAAATGGAAAATATCCAGCACTACTGTTCTTATCCATTCCAGGGCAAGTTTCCCTTAAATGTACATCCAAGTCTTCATAATCCACTGCTAGTGATCAGCCACAGATCTCCTCCAGAGGCAGCAGTCTAGGATGTTTACAAATCCATATTACAATACAACAAAAGGAAACCCAGAAATCAAAAAACAATGCACAAATTGAATTTATCTTCAAAACATACAACAATAACCTCACGTGCATAAAATACCAAGTAGCACTTTGGGGGGGGGAAATCGACCACCTTACAATATTATAGTTGAGGGAAGACATGGGGGCAAGGGCTTCTTACCTTAGAGACGTTCCCAGTTCCTGTAAACACAAACGTCAAGGGTCCAAGAGACTTTGGCATCAAACCCAGAGAAATCTCATAGCCAGCATCCCGCACTGCCTGCACAGCCTGGTTGCTGTTCCTGTAGTTATGGGCCATCCCAATGTGCTGAAACCAGATGCAGAAGGGCTTGCTGAGGAATGTGGCCTTGTTTCACTATAAATGCCCAAATGACATATAAAATTCTTACCATGAAAGGAGTATGATGTCCCAAGGCAAGAAATCGTAATCCCATTCCATGTAAAATATTGATCATTCCTGTTTCAGAATTACAAATTAATATCAAGAACATACATAAATAATCAGGTTCTCAATAGCCTGACTAATGCAAAAAATCTTCCTGAACTCAAAACAGCTTTTTCCATTTTTAATACTATTATTTTAACTGTAAAATAAATTGGTATAGAGTTGCAGAAGAGACATCTGTAATTCCAGGACCACTTGGAGACTTAGCATACTGCTTTTTATATCCCTCATACATGCCAACATTTTTTGAGGGAAGAGGGTAAAGAACACATGGGAATTAAAAAAGAGACAGGCCTATGTCAATCTGTTCTACAGAAGAACATTAGAATAGGGAGCTTTTTGAAGGACAATGTGAACATTTGATTTAAAAAATAAACTTTGTCATATAGGTAGGTCTGATCAGTTTGTGTACTCTAAGTCCACGCTATGCTTAGGCCAACAGAAATTTAGGACACTAACATAAATTTGTTTCTGTTGGCCTATGGATATTGATTCTTCCGCAGGTGAGGATGATTCTGATTTCCAGGATCTGAACAGATTGTTGGGACTTTTAAAGGAAGGTAAAGAAAAACAAGAGATTTGGAAAAACTAAAGTAGACTGCTTGCCAAAAAGACAGACAGTCGCAAGAAAAGAATTAAAAAAAAAAAGACACTGAGGCAGCTGAGTAACTATTAAATACTGAAAAGGTTTTAATTCTTATGAAGTTAATGTAAATAAAAGAGGTGAAGGAAAGGTATTATTAGCTCCGTTATACTTAATGCTTACCTGCCACACCAGCCCACTTTCCAAAGGCTACAACTCGCACCCCTCTATGATCAACCATTTTTTCATAATCAATCAGTCGAATTTCCTGAAAATAGGCAATAAGGTGTTGTTACATATTTACTGAAAATCTTATTTTTAATAGGAAAAATGAATTGGGTACTGTTTCTCATGGAATTGTTTTTATATGCCCCTTCCATAGTACGTCATGCAAGGCACATACAGTTGGCAGGGGCAGAACATTTACAACTACATAAAGTGAACGTTTGCTTTAAAAAAAGAAAAATGGATTGCTTTTGGTTTTAAAGGCAGTCAGTATGTTTTAGTAAGGAAACAAAATGTTAGCATTGTGAACATGAAAATAATAAAACTGGAGTAACCCTGCTGTCCTTAATCAGGGAGAATTCCCTATTGATTAATTGGAACATTTAGCCATGTAAGAACTGAACATCAAGCTACGTGGGCCTGATACTGGTATCAGCTATACTAATGCAATTCTGTTTGGTTCAGATTCTTATTCTTTAACTGGGAGGATGTCATTTCTGCCTCATGGAAGCATACGTTACATTTGAGTAGGGGGTTTTTTTGTTTGTTTTTTTTACTGGATGCTATATACCCAAAAATAGCATGGCTTCAAACAAAGTAGTATATTAAGATACAAGCAAAGAGGAACCAATTCAGTCCCCAACAGAAACCAGTAATAAAAACTGCAGCCAAGGACAAATGCTTAAAGATGAGTTATAAATAACAAAATGGAAGTCCAGAATATACAGCACATGATAAGAATTTGGGGACGTGTTCCATCTCATTGATGTATGTGAGGTAATGTCACAGATACACAGGTAATCTATAGATTCTGTTTGGCTATATACTGCCCACTCAAATAGTCTTCTTTCCATATTATAACCTATCTACAAATATGTTCATAATTAAATACATCCTGTAAAATACTGACTGAAGACAGCAAAGGCTTTTGGCTGCTTACAGACGTGAAAAAAACCCAGCACTTTACTTTCAGCCCAGCACGCCCCTGTGCCGAGAGCAGTGTGTGCCCAAAAGAGGCATCACATTAGTTTGCCCTGGCTAGCCCAATGTCTGTATGAATCAGGCACTTCAGCAGGGCTTTCTGGCACCTTTTGAATCAGCTTTGAATTAGCTTTAGAGAAAAGCACCAAAAAGCCCTGCTTGATGTGTCCAGTCTATACAGATGCTGGGGAGCCAGGTCAAACTAACATGCTTCCTCTTCCAGTAAAGCGCCATTATTATTTTTTTCACTTCTGTCAGCACCCTTTGTTATTATATTATGAAAAGCAAGCTCAGAGATCTATAAATTCTTAGGTTACCTTTAACTGAACTTTTATATTTAACCTGGTTTCACCTAGTGATAAGTCACTGATCTTTGTCACTACAATATTTACCTGTCTCAGAATCTCATCCAGAAGAGACATATTCGCCTCCTGGGCTTTAATAGTGTGCGAGAAGAATGCATAGTTTTTTTTAGGGATTAATTTATCCTCTGGAGGTCTCTTCACTCCCACAATTAGAGAAGCCTTAGAAATATCTTCCTGAATAATGCCACCTGCTTTGACATAATCCTGTAAACAGAATATTAGATTGTAATGCAGGAAAAACAAAGGATGGCTTAAAAAAAGAAAACTTAGCAAACAAAATAACACAAAACTGAGTCAAAGTATTATGATACATGCACAAACTGCTTTTATGATTTGAAGACCTTGCATATTCATACTTTTTTCTCGAATCTTAAAAGTATTTCTCTTCAGAATTGCTTCAGAGACTACTTAAGTTCAGTAAAATATTAATTCTCATCCCTGAAACTCTGATTAAATAAACTGTAACTGGATAAAACAAATATTTTTATCTTAGCTATACCTGGATCCCCATTAGTTCAAAAATATTTTCCAATTCAAACCTTTAAAATGTCAAAAGGTGTGTCTAGTGGGGAGCTCTTTAGTAGAAACCAGCATTGCTCCCCATTAAGAAGAGTACACATACTCTTTAATAGTTACCTATTACAGTTACATCAGGATTTGTTTTTAATTGGGATCAGTAACAATATCAGGTATATTTTGCAATGATGTTAGCGTAATACAGTTGAAAAGCCCTATTAAGATTCAGGCTAAAAAAGCTGCAACACAGATAGTTAACAAGGCTTCAAAGGTGGTTGCCTACAATGGTATGGTGTTCTGTAATCATTTCAGGCTAATTCAGCTAAGCTAATGTGCTCAGTGGAGAGGAATACACGTACCCTTTAAGAGAATGTCTTGACAGTAAAAAAAGGCATTAGGAAAATGACACATGAATTCAGTTGTGGGGAGAAAGCCACACACAAAAACAAAACTAGCAGTCAGATATGACACTGTTAATTACGCAAAGTCCCAAAGTCTCTGCACAAAAAACCATAGGGAATTTCTTCAGTATCAATGGAAAGGATAAAAATAAACTAACTAAAAAAATGTTAAAAATAAAGCTAACTGGTATTGCATTATATGTCTAACCAATGAGGCCCAGTTCTTTAGTCAGTAGGAAAAACTATTCCTTACAGTAATAAATAATGCTCATAACATACATCCTTTATTACTTACAACCTTTAAATCATCTAATCTAACTTTCAATGAAATTGCATCGCTTCCATTTTTAAATCTACATGAAAAGCATAACAGAACTTACCTTTTCATGGATGGCTCGCCGATTTGATGGCTGTACTAAGACTTTGTATCCCAAACGTGTTAGTTCTTTAACGTGCTTTGGTGCTAGAGGTGCTCTTCTTTCCCAAACATTAACATCTTCCCTCCTGATTGCCAGCACAGATTTATGATGATCCCGGCTCTGTAGGTGATGGTGCCCAAACTTACCATTTGTATGTCTAAATGCTCGGAGCATGATAAAACCTGATAACTGCAAAGACAGAGTAGTGATACAGCACAGCATTCAGAAGGGTGCTTAAAAGGCTTTGTGTTTGTAAAGAAGTACTGGTTTTAGAAATCTGCTGTAAAACATAGCCACTAGTCAAGATAACGATCATAACAATGTACAGTAATTAATAACATCCACACACAGAACTCTGGTGCGAGAAAAATGTTCATGCTCCAATATATCATATCAATTAATATCATAATTGAAACAGTAAGTTAATATGTTCAAAGACTGGTTTTGGTGTCACTTTGGCTGGATGACTTCACAGTACTGCTGTCTCTACAGGTTCTTAGATGCCTTGTGCTCTTTTAAATTTTATTTACTGAGTTTGTGATTGATTTACTGAGTTTGTGACTGGTATAAAACACCAATAAGATGTAGTTGCAAGTATAAAGATGCAAAACCCCAAAACAATCCAAGGCCGGCCAAAGAACAGTAATATGGAAGGGATTCCCCCATAAAAGCAATAAACTGAAATTAAGGCTCTCCATAAAGAGTGACAAATTCCTTTGGGTTAGACCTTTTAAAGATATTTAAAGAAAAACACCTAACTTGCATATATCAATGGAAATTAGATATCTAGATACTTTAGACAACCCTAGTAAAGGCCAGACATATAACAGAAACTGAGGTGCTGCAATGCTGAGTATTATCACCACACTTTAGAGTACACTGGGGAGGAGTTTTCAGTTTTTTAAATATTCATTGAGCAAGAGGAGGACACAGTGTCCATAACAGTTTTCTGGCACTCACCAGGAGGGGATAAGAGTCGTCCCTGCTGCAGTGAAAGACTTATACTCAAATTGGAACAGCATCAGTAGGAGTTAGGGAGAGTCACACCCAAAACACACTACCCTGGCAGTCATGGAAGTGTCTTGGAAGGTGACAAGCCTGGGTTCAAAACTTCTCACATGGATGGAAGGATTTCAATCTGAATGTCCTGAATCCCAGGTAACTGTTCTAACTACAAGGTCATTAGGTGAAAAAGGAGCTCCTGGCTTTCACTTAGCCTGTGAGAATCAGACTCTGTAGGCAAGATTGATAGGGAAATACCCAGCTTGTAAATCCCAACATCGCTTGGCATAAATTAGCTGTCTAGAGCAAAAGAAACCAAGCTTTAGCAGGCATGATACGAATGAAGCCCTGCACCCTCCACAAGGCCGACTCTAATTGCCTTCCCCTGTCCAATCTCCTGTTCTGCTTTCTGCTTCCTGCCCTATCTGCCACTATGTTCCCTGCCCCCTCCCTGATCTGTCACATGCCACACACACAGGCTGCATCTGCCATCTGTGGCACACATGCCATAGTTCGCCCACCTAGGCAGTAAGGCCTTAGGTGGGTCTGTATGCACAACAGTAGGTATTTAGAAATCTCTATGGCTGAGTGATAGCTGAGCAATAGTTAGAAGGATCTAAAAATTGCACTAGAATACCTCTGTCTTTAATGGTTTTAGGCCTAGCTACTTAACTGCATCTTTAGGCACCTAAATACCTTGCAAAATCTGGGCCTTCAGATCCAATTTTGCGAAGTGCTATGTGCACACCTAACCTACCACATGAGAGGAACCATTTAATTCGAAGTTTGTCACTATGTGGGTGTTAGTGCTGTAAGCCAAGATATGAATTTACAGCACACAAGCTACTCTGCACTCTCCCACTGTGCTTCATCTGGACAAATGCTAAAAGTGATCTTTACATGCTAGTCTAGACAGGGAAGTACTGTACAGTAAGGTAGAGCACACAAGTATGACACATTAGATACTCCACACTAACTCCCTGTGTGGCCACTGTTAGAGAACTCTAAGTGGAAGGGAGTTTATTCCAAAGTGCAGTAAGCTATCACACAAAATGTCACTAAATGCACACAACGTTTACATACACGGAATTAATGCCAAGTAACCAGTGTGTGCATTTTCATCCCTTAGATTACTCCCCATAATTTTTTCATGTAATATAAGTTCTATGGAAACGTCTGCACGAGCAGGAACATGCATTTCCCTTGGGACAAATAGCGGTAGCACATATTTGTGCTACTGCTAGTTATCCCTGGCCATGCCCCTGCATGCACACTCTGGCACACAGTAAATTGCCCCAGGTGGAGTAGGGGAGGCTAGGGCCTGTAGCTGGGCTAGCACCAGCAGCCTTACCTGAGGACCTCAGGGCCTCCCGGGGCAACAGCAGTGGTGATCTGACCACTCAGAGTCTGGCGGGCAGCTGGAGCATGGCTCTGGCTGGCTAGGATTCTGTTTCTGGTGGCACACACTGCAGCCACATGCACTGCACCACTATTTTTGATGCAGTTTTTTCAGATACCAGGATTTCCCAGTATCTAATCTTGCTGCCACATTGCAAATCTGCAATTTGGTGAACAAATTAATGTGCCACATGCATTTTGCAGTGCCTCAAAGGGCTGTGAGATGCTGCAAACCACACGTTCCCACTCCTGGGGACACGTCCTATGTAAATAGTCTACTGCACAACATGTGCACATCGGAGTAAGCTACCCTGCATATCATGTGCACATTAAATCGCCATACAGGGAGCTGGTGTAAAGTAACCAGTGCACTGTAAATGTACACCCTAACATACTGCACTAACTTCCCCACACAGACAAGCCCTCAGTGGACTACTCTCTGGCTTAAAATGTTAGGCTTCTGGGCATATCTTTGTAAGGTTAGAAGCTTGGCAAGAAGTATGGAACATCCTACAGTGTCAGAGGAAACTACTTCAGAATTGGAAAGGCAAAGACTTTCTAGCTCTTCTCTACATTCTTCCACATGCCCTCCTAGAAAGGAATGTCCTTCCCATCACTAGCCTGCAAGGATGCAGCCCTTCTTGCAGAAGGCCCATTTAACCACAAAAAAAAGAAGACATTTGACTGGCCATAGGTTACACAGGGATAGTGCTGAGGGTCTGTCAGAGAGTAAAACACGAAGACCAGCACTGTCTTGGAGTTTAGGCTGGTGATTCAGGGGGTTTACTGCATGAGGGTGGCCAAGCACTGGAACTACTAGCAAATAAGGCTGTGGATTCTTCATCTGTGAAAGTTTTCAAGAGCTGGCCAGGCAGGCACCAGGTTGGGATAGTTTAGTGCCTGGAGCAGGGGGCTGGACTAGATGACTTTGTGAGGTCCTTTTCAGACTGGTCTTCACAGAAGCATAGAGAAGCAGGGCTGGAAGGGACCTCCAGAGGTCCAGCCCCCTGCCTGAGGCAAGATCAGCCCTCTCCAAACCACCCTATCCAGCCATCACCTACACTCTACAAAAGGCTGCCCCGACACACAGCACAGACCTGATCCCTTAACTTGCCGCAGATAAAGCCAGGGGAGCAGAGCACCCACCCTCCTGCTTCTATGCCAAGCCGTCAACGTACGCTCCCGACCTCCTCTGACCCCGTCTTGGCTTTTGAGCCTGTCAAGTGCTTTGCAATTTGTAACCCGAGGCCCTTTAAAGGGACGCTGCCGCGTTTGGCCTCAAAACCTTTCCATAAAACCGACGAAGCTGCTGCGGAAGCTTCCGCTTTCCTTCCCCTTCCCCTTCCTCCACTGGCGACACGGCCCCGGGGCCCGCGGCGAAGCGGCGCCGCCACGGGAGAAGAGGCGGGAGGCTCCCGGCAGCTGTGGGCCACCCCCGACCCGACCCGACCCGACCCGACCCGGGGCTCGCGCGGAGCCAACTCCGTGCATTTAAGCAAGTCAAAAATAACCGGCGCGGGGAGGCGGGACCCGGACGGGAGCCATCGAGTAACACAAGGACCTTCCCCCCCACCCCGTCTGCACCCACCGGCCGCACCCCGGCGCGCACCAGCAGGGCCAGGCGGCGCGATCCCCCCGGCTCCCACGTGCCCGGGGCTACAGGCAAGCGGGTCAAGAGCCCAGCCCCATGCGGCGGACGGCTGCGCACCTACCTGCGAGGGTGCGGGCGCGGGGCCGGGGCCAGGGCCGGTTATGTAAGGGCAGCGGCGCTGCCCCCAGCGCTATTTACAGAACGCGGCGACGAAGAAAAGCCACCCCCGGCTGCAGCCAACCGGGCGCCGCCTTCGGGGCACCGCCTGCCCTCTGCTCCAATCGGGACCGCCCCCTCCTGTGACGTCACGGCAAGAGTCTCTCGCCTTCGGTGCACAGCGTTCTCTCTATGGGAATCGAAACCGCGGCCCGCACAGCCCGCGGGGACTGCTCCGACAGAGAGCAGACGGCACCGGGGAATAGACGCCTTTCTACCCGGGCACTGCACGGAGCCAGCGAGGTGGACGCTGGTGAGAGCAAAGAGGCATGAATGCTACGGATGTATGGGATGTAATGGGTAAATCCCATATCTTTTATTAGACCAATTAATAAGGGAGGTAATGACTGTAACTCTCCCAACTTGGCTTGTAAGGCAGGAGGGAGAGACAAGGAGGGTACTGCAGAGGGGATCTCGACTGGAGGGAGTACCTGTTGCTGTCTAGCACCACTACTATTAATATGTAGAAATGACATGGATCTCTACAAGTGTGCAAGCTGCTGTGGCAGCAGCACAAGACAGAGAGGCCTGCTACCAGACTTCCATAAAAGGCTGTTGTTACACAGTTCTTTTCCACTACCCCAGGGGTGTCAAACACAGCTCTCAGGCTGGACTGGCCCACAGCGCTTAGTGCTGTGGCTGTGGCGGGGTTAACCAGTGCAGCTCTGGAACCCAGGGAGTTGACACCACTGGTCTCCCCCTCCCCTGCCACCAAAATTAGGGTTCTCAGTCATCCCTGGTGACTACAATTAGCAGTAGGAGAAAAGGGAGGTGATCATCAGCAGCGTGAACTTCGTGGGTCCTGGAGCCAGGCTGAAACAGTGGCCTCTGGCAGGCCAGGGGAATAACACAACCACTTGTGGGTCATTCAGTCCCCAGTTTGGATCGAGCCCATGGGACCAAATGAACTTGACACCCTTGCACTATATCCTCTCCTGCCTTCATGTGAAAAGACACAAAAGAAATGACGTGTTACTATCAAAGTGGTTATCCATGATGTACAGTTTGCTTCAAATTAAGTCTGAAAGGTGGTTAATGATTTCTCACTGGTTGATGCATTAGAAATATCACAAAAATAACTCAAAATGTGTGCACGTATAGCAGCCATACCTTCCTGACCTGTGGCAGCCAGTCACAGGGAATCACTTGACTTCATGGCTCATTATAATCTACCTGATTTCTTCTAATCTCTTCATTCCACAAGTATTAATTACCATCTCTTCTGTTTAATGGTCTTGATATTCCATCAATCAAGCCATCCTTTGTACTGTAATTCTGCTGTCTGTTAGCTGCTCCTGGTAATGAAGCTCTTATTTCACAGACCTGCATACTGTTCTTAAAAACAAATATAACTTCATTGGACTGAATTGCTTCAATCCAAAACTCAACAAAACAGCCCTAATCCCCTAGCATATTAGTAAAGTTTCTAGTTTATTTTTAACTGGAGAAAATATATGTGGTTTTATATGTAATGATGCACCTCACCATCTGCACCCCGCCTTTCAAAATTCGAGATCTGCCCATGGTTAAGGCACACCAGTTTCCATAGCTAATAGCTATTCCATCACCAAGAGCCAATTTACAGGTGGACCACTCAGTGCAAACTTGGGGCAAGACTTGATATCGTACCCCAAGAGCAATAGCAAAACACCTTAACCACTCTGCCAGCAACCCTTTTCACACAGAACACTCAAAGTATTTATAAAGGGCAGCTAATCCAATCCAAAACTTATGACCTAAAAATAAAAATCTATAACCTATATGAATTTGCTGTCATGGGGTAGTTGACCACTCCCCAGGATGCAATCGTTAGGCATGTGAGACTTTGTTGGCAAACTTGACATTGATTTGCTATTTCCTTTATCTGTATAGTCTGCGGCCACCACATGAAATTTCTAACATTGGGTACATAATTTAATGTGATTGTGCCCAGTAAGGTAGGCCTGAACTAGAGCAGCGTTTTGGCACATGCTTGGCATTAAGCTGATCTGTTGTCTGTTTTAATTTAAACAATGGAAGTAGTGAAATTGTGAAGACATGTAAAAACTTCCCCGAACTGTATTCGTGTTTGCCAAGTAAAATCAACCTTTATGTTTTAGATGAGAAAAAGGACATGTGCTATAAAGATTATACCTTTATAAAAATCTATAGGAGATTGCTTGTGTTGGGATTATCATCAGTCTCTGCTGGGCTCATGGAGCTGCAGGGGCAGATTAAGATATACTGGGCACACACAAAATTGGAGGCCCCCCCTCCCCATGGGAGCTGGGCTGCAGGGGGGACCCTTCCCCTCCTGGTGCTGGCAGGCGGGGTGGGGGGCGGGGAACATGACACATGCCCCTCTCTTCTCCCTGTTCCCCGCTCCTCTTCCCCAGCTATGGCCAAACACACACACACACACACACACACACACACACACACACACACACACACAGATGGGCACGTACTTTACTCTCACGCCCTCTCTGCACATGGACACACAGACACAAACACGCTCTCCCTGCAATAAACAGATACGCGTGAACACACGCATACATACATGCACACACACAGATTCGCACAGATGCGCACACAGCTACAAGCAGACACACATGTGCGTGCACACACACTCTCTCCCCACAGGACCTCCCCCTCCCCCACTCGCAATCACTCTGAGGCAGCCCCTTCTTCCTCCCTTATCCTCCCCCACAAGTCAGCTACTCCATCTCGCTCCCCACCGGCCCTGTTGCACTGACCCATGGGAAGCTGCTGCCCAGCTGTTTTCATGCCGCCACGCACACGCATGGGGCTGGGCTGGCTCAGGCCGGGAGCACCATGCAGCACCTCTGTGGGCGGGTGGCACAGCGCAGCACTCCCATGCATTCCCCACCCCCTGCACACCAGCCCTATTGTGGGAGGGGCCCTGCTCCTGGCTACAGCAGGGAAATTAGTGCAAAAGTTGGGGTTTTAAAACCCTGTGGCCAGTTTAAAACCCCGCTTTCACTTCTCTGCTGAAGATCATCCCGGGGCCTGGAACTGGTAGGGGCCCCTCGGCTCATGGCCAGCTGGCCTGTGCATTAATCTGCCTTATGCATGGAGGACACTGCTACAAACTGTCGGGACCGAGGGCGGTCTAAGGCTATGGCCAGTAGCCCGGACCGTCAGGTGGGGTTTTTCCATGATGGAATAGAGTTAGGCACGGAAGCGTATTGGTTGTATAACGAAAGCTTTACTTACACTGCCGATGGTCGCAGTGCAGGAAGAAGATTTGCTTGAATTACAGTTGCACACAAACACACAGGGGTGAGATCTCTCTTCGAACCGAACTGAGATGAGTTGTCGGTGTACGACTCCATGAGCGCTTCACACAGGGGTACGTCAATAATTCCACGATGATGGGGAGTGGTTAGAGTCTGATCAGGTCCCTAAGTCCTCCTCCAAGACACACGCGGAGTTTGCTAGGCTCCACAGCGCGCTTAGAGTTCCCCACAAGATGGTTGAGGGGTCCTCCAACTTGGGCGGAAACTGCTCTAACCTTTTATACAGCTAGCAAGCCAATCGCTAGCCACCAGGTAGGAATAATTTAGAATTGACCAATAGTGGGACACAAATTTGCATACGTGTGGCAGGAACTCTTTTGCACTGGGGTTTTCTCTCTGCAGCTGAGAAATCCACCGTGCAAAGAAAGCTCCATGTGGTGGGAAAATTCCAATGTGCCGAGGCACTAAAAATCATTGGGTTATGACACAAACCTGATCAATATCAATATCCTGTCACTTCCACTTTCATCACGACCAGTGACCTTATTAGCAGAACAGGTGAGGACAAAATGAGCTAGAGAACAGCTTTCCCCATTTAGCACATATGTAATAGTAATAGTAAGATCCCCCCATATTTAATTAGAGTTTAACTCATGTTCATACATAGGCTATGCTATTTGCATCAGAAGTACTCACAGGTTTACCTCATACAGACACATTTAAATTTCAACTATATCTTTCATTAAAACAGAGTCTGGTTAAGTCAAACTTTTTACTAATGATTAATTCTACTTTTATATAATTTTCTCACCATCTTTAGATATACAAATAGTTTTTCATGAGGTTTAATATTCCTTCCTCTCTTTTATCCCTTTCTCTTTCTCCAAAGTAAGGTTCATCTTAGAGTTAAGACATGAAATTGTGAATAAGTCAACTGAAATCCTCCTGGCTTTGTCACAGACTTCTTGCATGATGCTGGGCAAGTCCCATCAATCACTGCATTACTCAAATTTTCCTGGAAAAGCAGAACTGAAGATAACAGTACTTCCCTACCTCACAGTGATGTTGCAAGGATACATTTATCAATATTTATAAAGCTGTCAGACATTATAGGGATGGTAGGCCATATGCTAGATACAGTAGCAGATCCAGGGGGTGCCGCAGGTAGTCATACCCTCCTTTCATTCCCACTTTCCCCAAAATGACCCAGGTTCATGGGAGCCCCAGAGCTGCTCTTGCCCTGCTCCGGCTGTGAGTTGGGCCTGTGTGGGTGCCAGGCTTGGTTGGGGATAATGGCAGCAGCAAGCAAGTTTCCTCTTCCTGCACCTACTTCCTGCTGCTCCCCAACCATGATCCCTGCTGGCCAGGAGCAGGCACCGATAGGAGGAGCCTGCCCACCATAGCTGCTGTTCCCAGCTGACACAGGCACAGGAAGAGCCCTAGGGCAGCTCCTGCTCCACTCCACCTGCAGACTACAGGGAGCAGCTGTGTAGGAAGTTGGGCTTGGCCAGGGTGTGCTTCCAGCCAGTGGTGGACACTTGTGGGAGTGGGAATAGGGGGCATGGAGGGGGGATAAGGGTCATAGCGCAGGCACTGATAAGAGGAACCTGCATGACACTGCTGCTATTTCCAGCTAAGTACAGCACACTGCACAGCCACCCTCCACAGCCCCAGCTGGAACAGGCCAGGGGCAGAAACTCAGGTCAGCCAGGGACAGTGGCAGTGGGCAGGTACCTGCCCCCCCCAGTTTGTGCATCTGCTCCCTGCCTGGCTTCCTGGTGTTCCCCACTAGCCTGGGGGCTCTAACCATGACTTGCCCCCATCTGCCTATGGATCGAAGTACAGTGTGCTGCATCGACCTTCAGTAAATTCACCCATGACTAGGTAGATGGATCACAACTACCTTATAAGAGAGGAATTGGGCCAGTTGTAGGGGATCAGGAAGGGGGTTTTTTTCACCCTCCCGTCCCCATATAGCTGAGCTGGGTGGGAGCTGCATGAACAGGCCGAGCAAACAGGCGCACTCTTCAGGGTCATGCCAGAGTTTAAGCGGAAGTCCGTGCATGAGGGAGAGCAGGAGGGGCCTGAGACTCTACACATCAGGAGCTTCTGATGGAGATTTCAGGTGAGTGAATGAAGAGGGGGGTTACTTTGGGGGTGGTAATATGGAGTGCCCTGCCTTGCTGCTGTCTGTGGCCCAGAGCTCCTGTGAGGCCTTCACCCAGATAGGGCCCTTGGATGAGTCATCAGTACCCTGCCTCCCGGTCTGCAGGGCTTGCCTGGCAGGACCTCTGAGGACTGGGGGTAGCGTGGGGGTTGGGAGTCCCCTCGCCTGTCCCACATGTGCCCAGATTGAGGCTCTGGAGGGGCAGGTGAGGGAACTCCAGGCAGAAGTGAGCAGGTTGCGAGGGATCAGGCCTGCAGAAGATGAAATTGATGAGTACTTTCATTCTCTGCAGGACCAGACACCTAGTGCAGAGACATCATAGGAGGGTCTCAAGGCAGTTGAATAGAAGACGGTCACCTCCAGAGCCAGACACCGTGCGGCTGTGACTGCTTCCCCAACACAACCGGGGAACAGATACGAAGCTCTGGCAGCACTGAAGGATGATGTAGCAGAGGAAGCCGCAGGGGAAGACACATCCATAACAACCATGCAGGCTGAGCAACAACCAGGCAGCCAGAAGAAAAGATGCCGGGTCATTATCGTGGGCGACTCCCTCCTGAGAGGCACAGAGGGGCCTATTTGTCGACTGGATCCCACAGCACAGGAGGTTTGCTGCCTGCCTGGAGCCAGGATCCAAGACATCGCTGTTAGGATTCCTGACCTCATCCAG